GGTGCTCATCCCTGAAAGTCAGGCTTTAGGCATCTCAAGTTGAGCACCCAAACTTAAACGCTCAATCAGTGGCTGCTTGGAAATGTTGACCTTTATATTAAGAGCTCCCATTCTGCTAGGTTACTTGGACAGTTAACAGCTAGGGTGGTGCTTATTTATTAAAGGTCCTCTACAAAGTATTTGACCTTCTCAGATGTGTGAGGGCTCTGGCTGAGGGTGCAGACTCTAGTGTGGGGCTGGGATGAGGGGGTTGGGGTGCAGGAAGGTGCACTGGGCTGGGACGGGCATCAGGGCTGGGGCAGGAGGTTGAGGCGTGCGGGTGTGAGAGGGCTTCGGCTGGGCGGGGGCAGGCTCTGGGGTGGGGCTAGGGAGGAGGGGTTTGGGTTGCAGGAGGGGTTTGAGGGCTGGGGCAAGAGGTTGGGGTACATGGGGGGGATGAGGGGTGCAGGCTCTGGATGGCGCTTACCTCAAGCAGCTCCCAGAAGCCGTGGCATGTCCCCCCTCCAGCTCCTATGTGAAGGGGCAGCCAGGTGGGCTCTGCGCGCTGCCCCATCCACAGGTGCCACCCCCACAGCTCCCATTGGCCATGGTTCCTGGACAATGGGAGCTGCAGAGCCTTGGAGTGGGGGCAGCATGCAGAGCCCCCTGGCTGCCCCTATGCCTAGGAGCTGGAGGTTGGACATGCCGCTGCTTCCAGAAGCCGTGCAGAGCCAGGGCAGGCAGGGAGCCTGCCTTAGCCTGTCTACGCTGCCAACAGGCCTGACCAGAGCCGCCAGGGTCCCTTTTCGAGCAGGTGTTTCGGTTGAAAACTGGACACGTGGCAATTCTATAACGCAGCTTTGGAGCCCAGCTACTACTGGGGTTAAGCTGCATTGAAAGTGCATTAGTATTAATTTTACTGTACACTTGATATGAAAGGATTTTCAGTTTGTTTTAAAATAAAACTCACTGGTAACTGACCATTAATATTTAACATGTTCAAAAAGAGCTGTGGTAGGAAAAGAAGAAACCGTCCTTTTTAAGGCGAAAAAATTTATAAAGAGAACCATGTTCCAAAAGAAAATTCCCTGCTATTTAAATGTTGCTTCTGATTTGAGGGGTGGATACAGTGGGGCAGTGGAGCGTGACATGAACAGGCAAGGTAGCGCTATCTGTCTCATTTTGTTTTGCCATGTAAGTGGCTGTATCGTCTGTAACTTGCTAGAACTATCTTTATGGAACCAAGCTCCTCTTTTTAGAAACTGATTTTGTACATTACATGTTTCTGATGCAGTCTCCTCTACCATAAATGCCGTAATATAATAGCATAATGTGGTGAGTTAAGTTTGGAACGTCTCCAACCCACAGAACAAGAGAACTGTGTTATCGTTGCCTTTAAAGTAATTTCCCTCTCCACTATTTGACATATTCAGTTAGTGGCTATTTACGTTAACCGTTGGGGAGGGGGGGGAGGGAGGGAAGGGGCAATAACTTTGTGCTATATTGGGCTAGCAGAGTATTCATATATACTACAAAGTTAAAAGTCCTTAGCATTCTTTGATTGACATGTAATGGGAATCACTGTCAAGCTGTTATATATTCTTATTTTACACTGACAAACTATTTCACTGGACAGGGATTTGCACAGGAGGAATAATACATGTTGACATGATATCTCTTTACTGTAAATAGAGGCGAGTGGCATCATTACAATATGAATATTACCACAATATTGTGTTATTTTCAGTTCCACTGAAAAATGAATTTTGCATTATATGTATGCTGCACAGATCAATCCTGGTATAAGAAAAGAAGTGTTATCTAGTAGCTAAACCATACAACTGGGAGCTAGGACTGTTGGGTTCTCTCATTTGCTCTGCTACTGACTCTGTGACCTTTGACAAGTAACTTAGTTATTCTGCAGTTCAGCTTATATACGTTAAAATTGGTTTAATAAACAATTAATCTGGTTTGTAATTCTTGCACTAAATTAGTTATTTGTATTGCAGTAGTGCTTAGTTCCCTTCAGGGATCGGGGGTCCATTGTGCTAGGCATTGTATACACACACAGACAGTCCCTGCCACAAAAAGCTTAGTCTTGTAAAGTGCTTTAATATCCTCCAGTGAAATTACTACAACACAGATTTATAAGTTGCCCACCACCCCAGTTGCTGCATACCCTTCACCTTATTTAAGTTAAAATCAAATAATATTTTTCCACATTAAAGAAGCATGTACACTACAACTGCCTGCAGCACAACATTCACTAACCTAAAGAACATAGAGATGCTGGATGGCAAGCAGGCTAAGCAGAGCAACAAGGTGGTAGAATGCCTGAACAAAGATGCATCTCATGTTATTTACAAAATGTAGTTGGGTTCTGGGTTAGATGCATGTCCAAGAGTACCAAATTCCAAGGAAATGAACTGCTCCCCAGAGGAAGGTACGTGGATGCTCAAATTACCATAATTTATTACTGGTAAAAGCCTAGAGGCCTCAGCCCCAATGGGCTACCACTGTACAAGTAAATAGGAGCATTTACACTTTTGTAGATAGTAAAAGTGCTTATGCAAGTGCCATCGTGTTCCTATTGTTCTAGAAAACTGATAGGGAGTGATATGTAAAGCAGCTATATTGCACAATCTTTAAAACTTAAATAGCACAGCCACTTGAAATAAAACACAGATACACACAGCAGTCTAAACTATAAGCATTTCAGCCTTTATATACATACCAAAGTGCTGAAATGCACGCACAGAAGGGATAGAAGCCAGCAGCATATGTGACATGTCTAAGGTTCTGAAACTAGTGCATGGGGGTGAGGGGGAGAGTAGGAGTGGGAGACTTGGGTCTTGTCTATTCTAGAAAGCTGTCCTGATATAACTATACCTGTATAGTTAAAACAGTACAACCCCTAGTGTGGACACGGTTATACTGGTATAAGGGTGCTTTATAGTGGTATAGCTATTCCTGTACAGAAAGTGGAATAAGCAACTCTACCCTTAGTAAAAAGAACGAGGAGTACTTATGGCACCTTAGAGACGAACAAATTTATTTGGGCATAAGCTTTCGTGGGCTAAAACCCACTTCATGAGATGCATGCAGTGGAAAATACAAATGGGTGTTGCCATACCAGCTATAACGAGACTAATCAACTAAGGTGGGCTATTATCAGCAGGAGGGAAAAAAAACACTTATAGTGATAATCAGGATGGCCCATTTCCAACAGTTGACAAGAAGGTGTGAGTAACAGTAGGGAAGTCAAGCCTTATTTAATGTGTCCAGTTTGCAAATTAATTCCAATTCTGCAGTTTCTTGTTTGTCTCTGTCTGAGGGATTGGAGCAAATGCGGTTGTACCTACAAGATCTCTATTTAGCATTCTTAAATTACAATACCCACTGCTGAAGTGAAGAAACAGATTGACAGAGCCAGAAGAATACCCAGAAGCCACCTACTCCAGGACAGGCCCAACAAAGAAAGTAACAGAACACCACTAGCCCCCAACTAAAACCTCTCCAGCGCATCATCAAGGATCTACAACCTATCCTGAAGGACAATTCCTCACTCTCACAGATCTTGGGAGACAGGCCAGTCCTCACTTACAGACAGCCCCCCAACCTGAAGCAAATACTCACCAGCAATCACACAACAAAAACACTAACCCAGGAACCTATCCTTGCAACAAAGCCCGTTGCCAACTCTGTCCGCATATCTATTCAAGGGACACCATCATAGGACCTAATCACATCAGCCACACCATCAGAAGCTCGTTCACCTGCACATCTACCAATGTGATATATGCCATCATGTGCCAGCAATGCCCCTCTGCCATGTACATTGGCCAAACCAGACAGTTTCTACACCAAAGAATAAATGGACACAAATCAGACATCAGGAATTACAACATTCAAAAACCAGTCGGAGAACACTTCAACCTCCCTGGTCACTCAATTACAGACCTAAAAGTCGCAATTCTCCAACAAAAAAAAACCTTCAAAAACAGACTCCAATGAGAAACTGCAGAATTGGAATTAATTTGCAAACTGGACACCATTAAATTAGGCTTGAATAAAGACTGGGAGTGGATGGGTCATTACACAAAGTAAAAACTATTTCCCCATGCTAATTTCCCCCCTACTGTTTGTCGGAGAAAAACAGAGTTCTTACTCTTTGGTTGGGTGCAGCAAGTCAGATACTTTATTATTTTTAGCAATTGCGTGGAGGGAGAGAGCTAAACAGGTCTTTCTACAGGTAAACAATTACAGCAAGCATTTATATCCTTTGTTACATACAATAATGAGCAAGAGCTGCATTTTGTTTATACATAAGTTATTTTGATTTTATTTTTGTTATTTTTATTTAGATTATAGTTTACATTTTATACTTATTTAATATAAGGTTGCAACTAACTTTTTTTTTTTAAACTTGTCAACTGTTGGAAATGGGCCATCCTGATTATCACTACAAAGTTTTTTCCCTCCTGCTGATAACAGCCCACCTTAATTGATTAGTCTCGTTATAGTTGGTATGGCAACACCCAATTTTTCATGTTCTCTGTGTGTATATATATATATCTTCCTACTGTCTTTTCTACTGCATGCATCCAATGAAGTGGGTTTTAGCCCACGAAAGCTTATGCCCAAATAAATTTGTTAGTCTCTAAGGTGCCACAAGGACTCCTGTTCTTTTTCCTGATACAGACTAGCACGGCTTCAGCTCTGAAATCTATCCTTAGTAGAGGTGGTACAAGTATAACTATTTTTGGAGAGGAGAGATCACACCTGTAACTGACATACCAGTACAACTTTAATGTGTACACCAGTCCTTAATCCCAAAAGACTAAGGGGGAGATTTTAAAGGCACAAAGGGATCCCTAGGCATCCCAAGATACTGTACTTCACAATTCTATACTTCCTGCAGGACTGACTCGGACATGGTTCTCACTATTGGCTCTGAGAGGGTTTAAGGCTATCATTTGAACAGTATATGAGCACTATAATTGCAAAGAACCTATACAAACCTATATAGAATGGAGAGATTTCTAATCATCCTCAAGTTGCTCGATTCCAAAAGTTGACATGTAAAAAGATGTTCTGAAAGAAATATGAACATAGGTTCTGACCCTGCAAACAGCTCCATGCAGTCAGACCCTCTGACTTCACTGCAGAATCAGGGCCATCATTTTGAAATCACTGACAAACACATCCATTTGAACTAATGTAGTTGGTTTTACTTTCTTATTCAGTTATTCAGACAGCGCTTCTTATATCAGTTACATCACCAAGGAGATACTCGTTTTTGAATAACCAGGAGTCCTTGTAGCACCTTAGAGACTAACAAATGTATTTGGGCATAAGCTTTCATGGGCTATAACCCACTTCATCAGATGCAAGGAGTGAAAAATACAGTAGGGTAGGTATAAATATACAGCACAAGAAAAGATGAGAGTTGCCTTACCAAGTGGGGGGTCAGTGCTAATGAGGCCAATTCAATCAGGATGGATGTGGCCCAGTCCCAACATGCTGGCACATGATGGCACATATCACATCGGTAGATGTGTTATACAGTAGAAGTACTATACTTTAGATAATGGTGTAGAGTATCAGTAATTCTTCATCCTCAAGTATGAAGACAGGTCATGAAAATCAGTCAGTCTCCAGTTGGATAAGCATGTATATCAGAGGCTTATACAAATAATGGTGTACATCCTCTGGAAGGAATTACAGCCCATCATACCAATGGCATCAATACAGGCCAAATGAGTTTGATCATCAGAGGAGGAAATATGTAAAGCAATCAATTTCTTCTTCTTCAATTCCAATCCAATAGCTGGAAGCTGATGCGAGACAAATTAAGACCGGACACAAGGCATAAATGTTTAACAGTGAGGATAACTGACCTTTGGAACAATTGGTTGTGGTATATTCTCCATCACTGGCAATTTTTAAATCAAGATTGGCTGTTTACCTAAAATATACTGTAGGTATTATTTTGGGGAAGTTCTATGACCTATGATGTACAGGAGGTCAGACTAGATCACAATAGGCCATTCTGGCCTTGGAATCTATGAATAGACTGAGGGATGATACCTCTGGCAAAATGTCTATTTTCTACAGTTTCCTAGAGATACAGTGTTTGGGCACAGAGTCCATCCCAGCTGGATCTCTTATTAGAAATAGATCATCAGTGTACATAGCTGAAATATTGTATCACTTTGGAAGGATAGTTATCTAATCTCACTCCACCCCTTTATTAAAGGGACACTGCTGACACTTACATAGAGTAGGACTGGTGGCCATGATTCTCATAGACTTTAAGGTCGGAAGGGACCATTATGATCATCTGATATAAGGCAGGAGAGGAAAATAAATTTTCTTACCTGTTTATTTTTCTCAAAAGTATGTCCGCCCTAGAGAGTGAGGGCAGCAGCAGATCTTAAATCTGTTAGCATGTAAAATATTCCATTCCCTTGTGAGAAGAGCAGTTCCTACTAGAGAAGGTGAGGGCTGTTGGGTAAGTCTGTGAGGAAACAAAGCAAGTGATCAAACAACACCTTCATCTGGTGAACTCTCTGGGCTAGGTCATGCTTCAGCCCTCACAAATGCAGGGGACTAAGCCACCCTGTTCACCCATGTTAGTGCCCCTTGCACTGCAGCTCAGGTAAACGAGAAGGAGGAGCAGGTGCTGCGTACTTGTGAGCAGTGGGCAAGGAATGAGGCACCAATGAGAATAGAGTGAAAAGTAAGTAAAAGGCTTCAGTAAGTTATTTTCTCTCAGGAACAAATGCCTCTGTCACAATTTCTTCCTCCAGGCTCCCCTGGGGCTGGTGAAGCCCTTAAACAGCTGAGCCTAAAGGCTGCCTAGTAATGACTAGCTCTTATATAGCATTTTTCATCAGTAGATCTCAAAGTGCTTTAGCAAGGAAGCCAGTATTGTTTTACAGATGGGGAAACTGAAGAACAGAGAAGTGTTTTGTCCAAGGTCACCCAGCAGGCCCGTGTCAGAGCTGGGAGTAGAATCCAGGTCTCTTGAACCCCCTTTTATAGGTCTATAAAATTGACTGGTTCAACAAGCATTGACTACTGATTTTTACAGGAGATCTCTAGTTAATGTTATTCTTTTTGGTTTACATGTGCTCTACTACCCAGCGTGACAACGTTGATGTGTCTCACAGAACCATGTTCTTGGGCTGAAATGTGAGGAAGAAAATCACATAGCTGAGAGTTTGATTAAAACCTCCCTTCTTTGGGAGCAGTCATCTTTAACAAGATGTTTTTAATAGTACAATGATTAATAGATATTTTAAAATGTTAATCATTGGCAGCCCATTTTTGTCCTGGATAGGATCTTGTCATACCATTTGCTATACAATTTCTAATTGGATAGAAAAATAACATCTGAGACAAAGCAGACTGTACTAGCATGCAACATTAAAGTACTAGGATGTACACTCCATTTGAAAGTCAGAGGCACAAGCTCAGGCCCATATTCTGTGTTTGTATAAATTCTACCCTGCACTTAATTCTTGCTGCTCACATGAAGCTCATTACTTAACCAGGTAACTGAAGGATAGCTAAAGTTGATTGGTCTCAGCTAAAAGGATTGTGGAGAACCTGCAAGCTCTCATATGCTTTTGAATGGAGTCTTACACAAGCACATAAATAGCCCCATGGTCAATAAGTAAAAAGATAGTCTCTGCCCTCGTTTCCTATAAGAATGTGTCTGTTCTGTCTGAGAAACCACATCCTATTCTGCATCACTTTCAGATGAAAAGTTAAAAAAAGAAAAAGGCAATAGGACAGGCACTAATCTAAGGGACGGCACATTGAGGAGTTCCTCAAGGTAGCCGAGGACCAACCTAATGGCTCCTATATTACTACCATTTCTGGCTCCAAGATAGTTAAGTCCCAGACAGATTGCGAAGAGCTACAAAAGGATCTCTCAAAACTGGGTGACTGAGCAACAAAATGGCAGATGAAATTCAATGTTGATAAATACAAAGTAATGCACGTTGGAAAACATAATCCCAACTATACAGGCAAAATGATGGGGTCTAAATTAGCTCTTACCACTCAAGAAAGAGATCTTGGAGTCATTATGGATAGTTCTCTGAAAACATCCACTCACTGTGCAGCAGCAGTCAGAAAAGCAAACAGAATGTTGGGAATCATTAAGAAAGGGATAGAAAATAAGTCAGAACATATCATATTGCCGCTATATAAAATCGATGGTATAGCCACATCTTGAATACTGTGTACAGATGTGGTTGCTCCATCTTAAAAAAGATATATTGGAATTGGAAAAGGTTCAGAAAAGGGCAACAATAGGGGTATGGAATGGCTTCCGTATGAGGAGAGATTAATAAGACTGGGACTTTTCACCTTGGAAGAGGCAACTAAGGTGGGATATGATAGAGGTCTTTAAAATCATGACTGGTGTGGAGAAAGTAAAGTATTATTTACTCCTTCTCATAATACAAGAACTAGGGGTCACCAAATGAAATTAATAGGCAGCAGGTTTAAAACAAATAAAAGGAAGTATTTCTTCACACAACGCCCAGTCAACCTGTGGAACTCTTTGCCAGAGGATGTTGTGAAGGCCAAGACTATAACAGGGTTAAAAAAACAAACAAACAAAAAAAAACCCTAGATAAATCCATGGAGGATAGGTCCATCAATGGCTATTAGCCAGGATGGGCAGGGATGATGTCCCTAGCCTCTGTTTGCCAGAAGCTGGGAACGGATCACTTGATGATTACCTGTTCTGTTCATTCTCTCTGGGGGACCTGGCATTGGCCACTGTTAGAAGACAGGATACTGGGCTAGATGGACCTTTGGTCTGACCCCATATAGCTGTTCTTATGTCAACATAGGGGATAGGGAGAATGGGGCTATTCTCAAGCTCAGGCCAATAAGGAACATGCAAAAGAATGTAAAGGTGACTGGGTTGTTCTAATTTTCTACTGAGACAGGCAGCTGCCTGGTAAGAGGGAAGGTAATCCATCCTGGCTCACTGCCTTCTTGAGACATACCAGTTGCTTTAGTTCATTTGTCCTGAGAAAGCAATTTGTATGCTTCAGTAGCAGAGTAACGAGTACATTGTCAGCAATGCTCTAGCCTATGTTAGTACTGTTGCGGAGTGTGGGGGAGTCAGGGCCCTGCACCCCTCTTCCCGAGATTCACTGCGACTCTCAACCAGCCAGTAAAGCAGAAGGTTTATTTAAGGACAGGAACACAGTCTCAAGCAGAGCGTGTAGGTACGACCAGACCCCCTCAATTAGGTCCCTCTGGGAGGTTCAGGGAGCTTAGACCCCAGCTTGGGGTTCCCTGCGTTGCACCACCCAGCCCCAACCGAAACTAAACTCTCAGCCCCTCCCGCTGCTCCTCTCCTTTGTCCAGTCTCCCGGGCAGAAGGTGTTAATTCTCCCCACCCCCGTTCCTGGCTCAGGTTACAGCTCAGGTAGCTTCCTTCAAGGGAAGTCCCACATCCCCACTGCAACCCCCCTGCAACATTCCCAGGTCAAATCTGCCCTGCTCCCTGCTCCGTCACAAGTACTAGAATGTTTTCCTTTTTGCTCTGCTTGCAGCTGGGTCAGATCATCCAGGCCTCCCGCTCCTCACCTGGGCTGATTGTTTGAGGAGGGAAGTTTTATTAGATGCATACACAGGCAAAAATAGTGAATGTATTTTACCAAAATACATCAGTTTAACTTAACTATAGCTTAGGGAAAAGCACCTGGTGACCATCTTACTTAACACACCCGTGTTTTTATGTTAAAGCACTTCCCAAAAGTTGCTGTAGAATGATTGATATCTGAAGTAGGTATTCCAGAATGCCTGTCCTGGTTGTAAGTGACTCACTCCATGGACTTTTGACAAATCTGTGTCAGCTCCCTTCCCTGTAAACTTTTATTGAGCAGTGTTTGATGGTAGAGCTCAAAGTGCTTTACCAAGGTAGTTAGTATCATTACCCCTATTTAACAGAGTGAGAAACTGAGGCACAAAAAAGGGAAGTGACTTGCCTAAGGTCACCCTAAAGGCAAGGAGCAGAGCTAACAACAGAACCTGAACACCAGTCCAGTGCTCTATGCAGTAGATCATGCATCCTCTTACTCCTCACAACACCCTTAGGATTACATTGTTAAAGCACACTGAAGAGCAGAAGCACCCTATAATCTCTACTATAGAGCTAGCGTATCAGCATTGCAAGCCTCAGCAGTTGGCAAATAGAGATATTTTTACTAAGACACAGCTCCCCAACTCACATTGGCTAGTGACAGTTAAGATAGATAGAACCCATACTTTGCTCCCACTAGCACAGCTTCTGTAGGTCAAATTATACCCTCAGAGACCCCTGTGCACTTACATTAGCTTTTAGTGAGTTTGCCCGAATCACTAAATATGAAGAGAAATATGCACAGAGGTAGCTAAAGGTATAATTTGGTCCACAGAATCTTCTACTGGTGATGATGCATTTGAGAGACTCTGAGTATCAGAGCCTAGACTGAATAGTATTAGAGCGAATTTCCACTTGCCAAGTAAAAACTTGATATGGAAATCAATGAAAAATAAAAACAAAAATCACACACTGCCTTTTTGGAACACTTCATTGCAATGAAAAAGGCAGTCATGTCAATTTGGGCTTGTATCAACTTTTTCTAAGCAACAGGAAAACTGAGGACAGGTGGAAAGCAACTGATTGAGATCTTCAGCAAGATACATGTCTCCAGGATCCAGTTACTCTGCTCTAGGCTTTTTGAAAGACACCAATCATACTAAAAATAGGTACTATCAGCAGAAAAAAAATGATTCAGAGGAAGATAACATTAAAATAAGGTAGGCAAAGCTATTTAAATGCTGTATCCTAAAGCATTAAGGAGAAAAGCCTATAAGAAAGATGGTATAGCAAATAAAGTTGTGTATTCAGTCCACAATCCTGATATTGACACAATACCAACCTTCTATTTCAACTTAAATTCCAAGGGCAAAAGATGCCCAATTATTTCAGAATATGATAAAGTATCTAAATAGGATAAATCAGATTACTGGAAACTGGATCTCCTAACAAATTTTTAAATATAGTTGTAAAAAAATCTGCAGTAAATTAGATAACTACTCGGCTTTTTAAGCAGAGATTATCTACTTCGAATAAAAATGTTTGCCAACTGAATGTCAATTATATTTCCAAACTGATTTGGGGCAAACTCTTTAAAATACACAATTTGTTCACATATTAGGCTATATAAAAATGTAGAAAAAATAGGGCACAATCCACCACTATTTCTTAAAATGGGATAGCTATGTCTAACACTTATATCACATTGATTATGGCTATACAGCAGTCATATTATTTTCCTTACTCTATTAAGGTGCAAAATATAGTTTGGCAGCCAGTTACAAACACAAAAGGTAGTCAGCGTAGAGAAACATTTAAGCTGCAGTGGGTTAAAACAATGGATGCCAGTGACATCTTAGACTAACAAGGCATGAAGTTACGGGATTCTGGCATTAAGCAAGTTCCATTATTGGCTTAGAGCAGTGCATTCGAGGACTCTGGCTAACTCCAGCCAACTATGTACTACATGCTTTTTAGACAAATCCTGGAGCACCACATGAGGTTTCCAGTGGTAGGAACCTTCAAATGGAATGTTGGGACTATTTCCAAGAAGACCATATGGGTGCCACTTTTTTGGACATGTGCCAAATACTGCATCACCACAGCAGTCCTGTTTTTATACATTATTCCTACAACACTATTAAATCACCGTAGTGAAATTCAGATTTCTCAGATAATCAGACAGAAAACAGACTAGTTAAGATACAAATTTGCCATAGCAAAAGAACGACTACCTATAGAACATAATTGTAGCTTACAATAAAATAAAATGGTCTCCTCTCCCCATTTTATCAATGTGGGAAATCAAGGGAAAATAAAAGACAAGGTTAAGAGATGAGACTGTTACATACTGGAATCTTTTGCTAGTCTACAGGGGCCTGGCTTAAAGTTGGCTTTTTTTGAAACTTATTCTATGTACTAGCTTATTTGTAGATACCATCTGATTAGTTTATATATGGTCCATTTTGATTTTCCACAATCAGCTGTGCCAAACATTGTGCTTTACTTTAAAAGAATTAGAGAAACGAGAAACCCAAGCCAAAACGAAAGCACATACTTTCAAAACTTAAATTTGAGTTGTCTAAAATTTTGGATTATACAAAGGGACACAAAGTATTGTGGTGGATTTAAAGCATAGGCAGTCATGGCCTTTATACATGAAATTATAAATAATTTGCAGTTATCTACTAATAATGGAACCTGTTACTTTTTTCCTAAGCTAAGCATGCTCACTAGGAGTTCAACCTTGTAAAGTGCTCAGTACATCTAGGAGGTACTCAGCACCTTGCAGGATTGAGCCCTATGTGCAGGTTTAATATCAGATAAAGGCTCCCAAATTTTCTGCAAATCCTTAAGAATCATGAAGGAGGATAAAGCACCCAAGAAGATCTTGATTCATGAAGCTACATTCAGAATCTTTGCTTGTTTCCAAATGGTGCAGAATCAGACAGTTAAAATATTGATTTAATGATATATGTATATGCAGATCAGGATGATGTTTAGTGCTATCTTGAACAACTCCTCCTACCAGATGGTAAGATTAAACAAGTAGGCCTTTTAAAAGATGAACTACTTATGAAATCAAAGAATATTACTTGGCAAGCTCTTTGACACTATTCATCCATTATATAGTCTAAATTGCTATTAAGATTTCTCTGTTTGGATCTTTCATTTGCCTCTATTACAGCAACTAGCAATACAGCCCCTATTTATGTGGAACCAAATGGTGGACTTTACAGTACTTCAAGAAAATTTTAAGTTATTAAATATTGGCAATTACTATTTAAAACAGTGGTCACCAACCAGTCGATCGCGATCTCCAGCGGCACAGCCGCTAAGACAGGCTCCCTGTCTGCCCTGACCCCAGGCCACTCCCAGAAGTGGCCAATGTGGCCCCGGGGGTGGGGGCAAGGGTCTCCCTCCACACTCTGCTCCTACCTGCAAGCACCAGCCCCGCAGCTCCCATTGGCCGGGAATGAGGAGCTGTGGCCAATGGGAGCTGCAGGGGCAG